GTAGAGAGGAAACGCCTGACCGCGTGAGAACGGGCATCCCAACAGAGGGAGACAGCGCCCCCGCGCGGCCGGCCGCTCAGCGGCTGCCTCCGGGGAGCCCAAAATGGTGGTTCCACGGACCTCCTCCAGGGACCTTGGAACCCAGGTCTCTGTAGAGTGTGCACCCTAATATTGACCACAGCGACGACAGGAAGGAGCTGAGAAGGGGTCCGTGGAAGTAAACACCCCAAGAGACGGCAAGCAGTTACTAGCATATGCTTTTAACATGCCCCTTGGTGCTGGGCCCGCCTCCAAGGGAACACGGCCGTGAACAAGGGTTATGCCACCTGCCCACATAGAATTTACAAACTACCACGAGTTCTGTTAAGTTCTATTAAGGAAATACAGGTTATCAGTGACCTGAAAAGGTGACCAATTTGGTGAGCACTTACGACAGACCAAGCAGAAACTCATTAGAGCGGAAAGAATTTGGCACAATGGAATGTGGAGTATTTAGAAACCGGGCTAGTTCAGTTCTCTAGAATCTTCTCTATTGAAACTTTATTTCCTTCATAATATTTCAAATAGGAAGAGTTGTACAGAACATCAGCGAACTGTAAATTTTTAAAATGATTATGGTGACCATTTAAAATGTTAAGTGAATTTTACCTTTTTTTTTTAATGAAGTCTCATCAGTGGGTTGTTCTTCCTACCCTGAGCTTCCTACTATACAAACTCCACCACTTCCTCAAACACCTAATCTCCTTGATGACAGAGACTGTGGTTTATTCATTTTTGTAATTCCTGCGGCATCCTGGCATATTGCTAGATATACATTCTGAGCCACAGAATTTCTTTGAAAAATCTAATTATTGTCTAGGGGTCATGGTAGTGATAGAGATTATATTCTCCACCACCTAGGGATTTAAAAAAATAATAATATAGCAAAGGTGAAAGGTATGAATTTACTCTCCAATTTTAAGACAATTCTAATAAATAATAATTTTAAAGTTTTTCTAAGAGAAAGTGCTGTAAATAGCAATGCTGAGATACAGAAATATCTAAATACACTAGATGGAGAGTTCTAGTTAAACTGGAAATATGACCAGAGATACATGTGTGTGGCTGGGCACATGCAAATATTCATGAATTAAGAGGCCAGAGATATGTTTTCTTCTCTCAAAGTATCTGTTGCTTTATTATTTCAATTATTATTTCTGTCTCAAATTCCTGGCACTCTGACTCCTTTTCAGTATCCTATCAGATTCAACATCCCTGCCAGCCATTGCTGTCTCATTCTTTTTTTTTTTTTTTTAAGATTTATTTATACATACAAGAACTGGGGTACAGGCCAGAGGTACAGGGGCAGTGAGAGGATTCACCAGAGGCAGAGTGGGGAGCAGAACAGGCAGACTGTTCTCACTGAAATACACTGCTGAGGGGAGCAGCGGGTGGGACAGGAGAGGTCTTCTGTGCCATGTGGGTCAGTTCCCTGGCCAGGGATTGAACTCATGCTGAGTGGCTATGAACAGCTTCATAGTGCGGTACTTTAAGCCTCTGCACCACCAGGGAGGGCCCAGCCATCTCATTCTGAATTCAGGAACATGCATTTTGAGTGCCCATGATCAGCTTGGACTCCAGTAAGTACTGAACACACTAGGAAGTCACACAGAAATATACACCAGACAGACTCATTCTGAAGTCTATCCCACCTAAGCCTTTACCAGATGTTGTCCCCTAAACTCCTATATATTCCCCTTTTCAAGGTGTTTGAAGCACTCTCTGCATGACCCTGCAATGGTGAAGTGGGTTCCCAGTTTGAAATTTGGCAGAATGAACACACCCAGGATCTAAGACCACAAGACCAGAAGCCCCTGGGGAAGTTTTTCCTTATTATTTTTTTTTTAAAAAGATTTATTTATGTATACATACAAGAACTGAGGTGCAGAGAATTCACCAGAGACAGAGTGGGGAACAGAACAGGCAGCCTGACTGAATTACACTGCTGAGGGGAAGCCGGGACCAGACAGGAGAGGTCTGCTGTGGCGCCACATGGGTCAGCTCCCTGGCCAGGGATGGAACTCATGTTGCAGTGGCTGCCAAAAGCTTCCTAGTGCTGCATTTTAACCCTTTGTGCCACCAGAGAGGGCCTGGGAAGTTTTCCTTATAAGGAAAATGGAAGTCAGCTGAAGCCGTTGCCAAAACATTAGTGGGCTGGGAGCTCAGCGTGCCCGCAGAAATCAATCATGAAAATACCAAGTGTTTGAAGCAGGGAAAGTGTATTACAGCAAGGCATACCAACACTTATATCTGTTGTCCCAATTAAGGGAGGAAATGAGGCAGATAGGTGGGAGGGAGGGAACGGGGTTGACAACAAAGGAGTTAAATTTTAATCAACTGGAAAGTGGGTGGGTGCAAAGAAATGTGGGCTTGGTTGAAGTTCATTGGCTACACACAGGGAAGTTCATACAAGAGGTGTGAAGAGGCTTTTCTTAGATATGGGCATTTTGAGTTTCTGCAAGTGGGTGGTGCCTCGAGGTGACCTCTTTCTCCTGATTCACCTGCTCCTGGCTCTAGTGGGCCTTGGAGTTCAGCTCAAGGTTAGTCGCATCCGCTTAGCTCAGGCTGTCAGATAAGCCACATCTGTAAAGACCAGTCTCAGACAGAAAGTTGATAATTTTTTTTTTCTTTCATGTTGTTAGGATGTGAAAGCAATTTAACCATTTAGGCTCAATTTCAGGTATTGCCTGATCACAAAAACAGCTTACTGCTCAGCAGCATGCCTCCTGGTCCTTCGGCTGAAACCTCATCATCACTGAGTCCTAAGGAAGGAGACTGTATCACAGCTGGTACAGTGTTTTCTCACACACAAACACACTTACATGTCCTGGGGGACATTGTTCTGTGGAGCTGTTCCAAAGGAAATTAACACAAATCTAAGGCAGATGGACTTTTCCAGCTTCATTGGGAAATGTAGCTGGACCTCACCCTCAGAGAGCAGTAGGGGACCCCACTTGGACCCCAGAAGTCTCCCTGGCTTGCCCAGCACAGGGATGCAGCAACTTTGAAAGTCCATCCCTGTGTCAATGCCCGGCCCCCACATAGGGCTTCTCCAGCCCAGAGAGAACAGTGGACATCAGCAGAGGGAAAGAGAAGGGAAATGGCAAACTCTAAGTAGAAGCTGGGGGTTGCACTGGTGGAAAAGATCAGGAATTCCACTGCTGTGGACTTCCAGAAATAACTGAGGAAAAAATCAACAAACCAGAGTTTCTGCAACCAACTAAAGGCAGAACAAAGAACTTTTGCTGTTACTGTACGTGTGACCTCTTGCTTACCCAAGTCCTTAGGTCCGAGGAAATGCTGATTATGGGTGTTTGACTTTCCATGTTTAAATTGTTCCTTTTTCCACTGTGTCTTTGTTTTCCTGCCACTGATATAACAAATTACCACCTACTTCGTGGTTTAAACAATATAATTGTATTATTGTACATTTCTGTACGTCAGCCACTCAGCACCGGTCTCTCTGGCTACAATCACAGGATTTGTGCTTTTTCAGAGGCTTTGAGAAAACTGTTTCCTTGCTCTTTCCAGCTTCTAGAGATTTCCTGTTTTGCTTATGCCTGTCTATCTCCAGCTCTGAAGACAGATGTGATCAACCTAGTCCTTCTCTGTTTGTCTCTTTGGCCCATCTTTAAATGTTCTCCCTCTCTTCCTCTTTCCCAACATTTTTTTTTTAATTTATTTACTTATTCATACAGAACTGGGGTACAGGCCAGAGGTGCAGGGGTGGTGAGAGGATTCACCAGAGACTGAGCGGGGAGCAGAACAGGCTGATCAACGAAGTATGCTGCTGAGGGGAGCAGCGGGCGAGTCAGGAGAGGTCTGCTGCACCATGTGGATCTCCTCCGGGGCAGGCGGGATCGAACTCATGTGGAAGTGGCTTTAGCTTCTTAGTGCTGTGTTTTAACCCGCTGCACCACCAGGGAGGGCCCAACATTTGTTTTTAAGGACTCATGATTATTAGGTTGGGTTCACAGGTTAATTTCTCATACTGAAAAAAGTGATAGTAATTTCATATCGTAAAGCTTCATAATCTTAGTCCCATCTGTAAAGTCCCTATGCCAGTAATGTCCTTCCCCTCCTAAATTTGCCCAATAATTCCTCCTGGTTCTTGAGGGCTCAGCTCACCTCTGAGACGTGTTCCCTGACCTTCGCTTCAAATACCAATTGTCTGTCTTTTCAGCACCCAGAATGGTTTACATTCATAAAAGTGTCTCTATTGGGCCCTCCCTGATGGCGCAGCAGGTTATAGCACAGCACAGCACTGAGAATCTAAAGCCACTTCCGCATGAGTTCGATTCCCGCCTGCCCTGGAGGTGACCACATGGGGTGGCAGACCTCTCCTGACCCGCCTGCTGCTCCCCTCAGCAGTGTACTTCGTCGATCTGCCTCTCACCGCCCCTGAGCCTCTGGCCTGCACCCCAGTTTTGTATGCAAAAATAAATAAATTTTTAAAAAAAGTGTCTCTATTTTTGCTCTTAGGCTATATGGTCACAGAGTACAGTCTACAGTTGATGGCTGTGGCAGATCCTAGAAACATGCCTGGCACCTGCTTGTCAAATATAGGAAGATCCCCAAAAGTCAGATGCTCCTAAAATGAAATCTCAAAATACTTTCAGATTCACCATCGTGTTTAATCCCTATAGCAGATTTCTGAGGC